TCCACTCTGCATTTTCAAAACTATTTCAGAACCCAATGTATAATCATTTATTTAATATTTACCAATAACAACTATTTATTTACTTCTTCTTCTTTTTTGGGTGAATAACTATTTATTTTCATGCAGCACCAGTTGATTATAATAATGACACCACTCTGACTCAATGCCTGGGCCTGGGGGTAGGGGTCAAATTAGCCAGGGGCAATTAAGTAAATTAGCCATGCTAGCCAACTTTACCCACCACCGACGGTGGCGCGTGACCATGTTGTGCAGGATGTTGGCCATCGGTGGCCGGATAACCCACCACCTACCACTCAGATCCCAGATCAACAGATCTCGATGAGATTCAAAGCATAGCTCCAACTACACGCTCTAAAGCGCGAGTGAGCAAGCACGGCCAACATCACTGAAACGCAGCGTTTTGATGAGTGAGAACAGAGGCTCTCAGCGCGAAGCAAAGACGTCGAGGGTCGGAGTTTCAGAAGAGTGTGTGGAATCCAGCTAACTAAATCAATGTTTGTAAATAACTTGGGTTGATTTTGAACCGAAAGTTCCAGATCTGGATGCGCATTGCACCCACTGCGCATATTAGATCTAAACTAGACAAACTCAAAAACAAAAAACGAACCAAATAAAATTTAACTCAGCATTACCTGATCGTCAGCTACAGAAGGACCAGGGGTTGAAGCATCGGGGCTCGCTGCTCCAGGAGCCTCAGCCGGAGGAGCGGGTGGGCTGTCCGAATCTGGAGTGGGAGCAGCCGCTGGAGACTTGTGCTTAGGCTTCTTCTTGCTAGGAGCTGGAGCCGGAGCCTCAGGTGTAGTCGGTGGCTCAGCGACTGGAGCCGGAGTGGCTGCCGGAGGAGATTTAGCCGGTGGGGAGCTGACCGGAGCCTTAGAAGGTGGTGAGCTCACTGGAGCTGGCAATGGAGGTGAAACGGCAACAGTAGGAGTAGTAGCCACCGGAGTTGGAGCTGCGGCCGCAGGCTTGGGTGTTGCCGACACCGGAGTTGAAGCGGGTGGAGCCGATTTGGGGGAAGCGACTGGAGATGGTGACTTGGGCTTTGTGGGAGCTGCAGCTGGTGGTGAAGTAGTGGGTGTGGTTGCAGCTGGTGGTGAAGCAGTGGGTGTGGTTGCAGCTGGAGTCGCCGGAGACTTTGTAGGCACGGATGCCGGAGCTTGGCCTCCAATGCCGGCGACGAGAATGCAGATGAGTGCGATTGTGAACACGTTGTTTCGCTCCATCTCTATCGTTGACAACGGAAATCAGATGGAAATCAGACAGATAGAAAGATAGAGAGATAGAGAGAGTGAGAGTGGAAAACGATGAGAGAGTTATATATATAGTCCGGATCTCAACGGGAAGAAACAGAGGTTTAATCTGGAGCGTACATCAAGCGGGACCCAATTCTAGATGGGGTCGGATTTAGCCGTTGGATGAACGAACAAAGACGAAAAGAAGGTTCGGCCTCTTTTCCGGGGCCCATAAAACAGGCCATGTATGTAAGTAATGTGGCGCTAGACTAGACACAGTCTGGCTGGGGCCCATTTGGGTTCACGTGACACGCCCACCAATTGATTCTTTGGGCTTTGGCTGTGACATTAAAACGCGGGGTTTTCATTTTTTTGGTTTTTAGAACTTCGGATGTATAGATAAATACTTTTATTTTTATTTTTAAGGATATTTTTTATTGAGAAATGTGATGATATACTAAACTCATATGCATTATACGAATGCTAAAACTTGAATTCAGAATCTTTAATGAGAGAAGCAAACTCAAACCCAGAACATTTCTCAGGAAAAGAAATTGCTCCAAACCACTACAGTTGGTGGATTCTTTACAGATAAATCAAACTATAATTCCTTGTTTAATAAGGTTTTTATATTTTAGTTTTAATAGAACAAGTGGGTTTTTTTATACAGCTGGATTGTTTAAAGGTGGGGTCATTTGCCAGTTTGACAAACCAATAACCGGCGGCCACATGAGGCCTCGTGGCAATAATTGCGTGTGATTTGGTAAGTTTAGATGGATTATCGTAGCACCGCCAAATTTGTGGGTCCCGCGAAATGTTGCCTGTCCGTGCTTTTGTAACGCATATTTTTGCTTGTAGGCTCGGCTGTACCAAGAAGGATTCTTTTCCCTTGTTTTTTTTATTTTTTTTGGGGTTAATAATAACAATAGCAAATAGGATGAGCTGGTTTTGTTACTATGCTTTGACATGACATGGAAGACAATGAGGCGTGAGCTGGAGAACTTGGAACGTTGCCGATTTCCATACATAGTTTGATGATATATGCATGTTCGGTAGTTCAAATGCTAAGCCAAAACCACAAGTACGCATAAGTCTCTGATTGGTTTGTAATTTTTGGTCAAACGGAATCGAAACAACGTTTGATTTTCTATAATAGTAAATCTTTGGCGGTACATGAGGAGTTCTTCAATTGACATAAATAATATCAGTACGGTCATTATGAGAAGAAAAATGTGAGATTAGATTGGTTTCTATTTTTGTTTGAATAATTAGTTGGGGGTTAGATACAATGCATTTGAAATAATTACGTATGATATTTGAGATTTCAAACAACGAGATATGATTAATGCATTTCTTCTTAACAAGGCAACCACCTCAAAACTCAAATTTCTTAGTCAGAAAAACTCTTTCAGAAATACATGGTAAATTCATTATAAAGTACAATAACTTGTAGCTCAAGTAGTTAAAAGTATTTACCCTTACACTCGATATCCTAAGTTTGATTTTGCCTCTCTCAATATCGCTTATATATAAAATAAAAAACATAAAATTCAGATAAAGTGATGAACTTGCTCTTAATCTAGTTTTACTTTTATTCCAATATTAAAAGAGATTCCAAATTCAAATTTCATCGTCCGAAATGATTTAAGAATAAGCTTTAAAGAAAGTTTCCCAAGAGGCCTAATTTGTTGGGTTAAATCCATCCATCATCCGAATACCCAACAATTCTACATGACAAAATTGTCCGTCAACTTAAATCAAAAAAGAAGTTCACGGGGGGCTATGAGTTGGAACTTGGAATCGATCCCAGATTAATATTCATAAGCAACCACCATGAGATTGTCTGTTAGGTTTTATAACTAGTTTAAGGATTAGTTACGTTTTTAACTTTAAATATTCTGGAGTGTAGTGAGTAAATGTAGAATTCATTAGAAATCTAATTGGGTGTACAGATTAAATTCCCAGTACGTATCAACAACTTTGTAGAGACTTTCTAGAGCCCAAGGCCCACCTTCTAGAAGCCCAGTTCTTCTTTTGGATCTGCTGTTTTGTTAAGGTATTAATTACGTTTTAACTTTACATATTCTGGAGTGTAGTGAGTAAATGTAGAATTCATTAGAAATCTAATTGGGTGTACAGATTAAATTTCCAGTACTTATCAACAACTTTGTAGAGACTTTCTAGAGCCCAAGGCCCACCTTCTAGAAGCCCAGTTCTTCTTTTGGATCTGCCTATTTTGTTAAGGTGATGAGTATTATGTATGAGCATCAAATGTCGAGACATTGAAGGGGCGGATCTAGCCAGTTTTTAGCCCAGCAAAAATACCATATCTCTAACTGTCTAGACAATCAACGACATATTCTCTTCTCCTTGTTACTCTTTGTGACTTTGTCCATAGAGAGGCAGGGCAGCTTCAAGAATAAAAAAGGGAATCGAAGTAACCCAATTTTTTTTTCTATGATACCAGAAAATTTGCTGCCTCGTCCTCTCTCTCTCTCTCTTTCTGCCTCTCTGTAGATGATATTGTATAGGCAAGGTGGAAATCTGTTTTCTACCTCTGTCTCAGCTTTTATCTTATGTCTGTTGCGAGTCTGGGTTTTTTTTTTGGGTTCATCTTATGTCTGTCATGGGCTGATACCTATTAATGGGTTGGGTTATGAGTTTGTTGTGTTAATGGGCTGTGTTATTTAGTTCGTGTATTAAAGGGTTTGCTTGTCAATTTTTATTTATTAAGTTGTTAATAAGCCTTTTAGTATATTAATGGGTTTTATTTCAAAATTCTTTGTTTCAAAGTCAATATCTGTTTATTAATGAAATTCACTTGTCTCGGCCATTTTTCCCTTACAAGTTGGTTTTGTAGGGAGAAGTTCCACCACGTCGGTCGCATATCAAGCAATATCTCCTATTCATGCTGGAGAAAGTAGATGCATGCGCAGGCAATTGTTTAACAACTGTGTTTGAATATATTCCTTATAATTTGGCAAGCTTTTCACCGGAAAATATGTCACACTATCTTCCCACTAGCAGCCCATGGATCTACAATGTGTGGTGCTCGTGGAATAACGCCAAACTGTTTTTTTTTTTTTTTTTGGGTTCATCTTATGTCTGTCATGGGCTGATGCCTATTAATGGGTTGGGTTATGAGTTTGTTGTGTTAATGGGCTGTGTTATTTAGTTCGTGTATTAAAGGGTTTGGTTGTCAATTTTTGTTTATTAAGTTGTTAATAAGCCTTTTAGTATATTAATGGGTTTTACTTCAAAATTCTTTGTTTTAAAGTCAATATCTGTTTATTAATGAAATTCACTTGTCTCGGCCATTTTTCCCTTACAAGTTGGTTTTGTAGGGAGAAGTTCCACCACGTCGGTCGCATATCAAGCAATATCTCCTATTCATGCTGGAGAAAGTAGATGCATGCGCAGGCAATTGTTTAACAACTGTGTTTGAATATATTCCTTATAATTTGGCAAGCTTTTCACCGGAAAATATGTCACACTATCTTCCCACTAGCAGCCCATGGATCTACAATGTGTGGTGCTCGTGGAATAACGCCAAACTAAAGTACTAGGACTGTAGGACATGCATGCATCCTGAATCTCGATGCAAATAAATATCAACAAGTTTGAACTTTGAACTATAAACAACCATAAATCATGACTGTATAAATATATAATCAATGTAAAAGGCATTCAGAATGCGCACTTTGTCATTGGCAGAATATGCATTATTAAACCCAGTTAGCACAAGTGCTAATCTATGCTATCTAGCTAATGCTTATTGTTAGATTTTGCATAATTATATTATATATATATAGCCGCATTTTCTTGAGACCAACCCAGTTGTACTTGCAGCATTATATTTGGTGACTTCCACTCTGCTTTTTTGAGTTCAGCTGACTTGTATACATCCAAAGCTCAAAAAGCCTGCACATCTGCAGAGCAGTATATATATAATAAAATTCTAATAGCCATTGTTGATTGGCTTGTTATGGAGGGGACCAAAGTTGCTTGCTTGACTTTGAAGTTATAGATATAGAAGCAGATGGGGTATATCATGGCAGGAGCAACCCTTTTGGTTTTAGGGTAACCTTTATGCAGAATCATAATATGGTGGCTAGCTAGTCCACTGCTGTGCCTTTTTTTCTTTTTTTGAATTTCAAATTATTTGGTTCATTATACAGATAATCCTTAATTGGGATCATGGTACTTTGTCTCCATTTGGTAAGATACACTTGGTTGAGCTAATCTCTCAGTGCTTAACATGCAGCTGCCCAATTAATTACAGCTTCAGATAAGATGCTGAGAAAATTCAGAAAATGAAAGAGGAGGAGGCATGCCATCCAAAAACACCCCTTTTGAGAAAACGTGACTTTGGATCAAAAGGGCAAAGTACTCCTGGCCAATCAATGATCAGTGTGCAGGTGTTTCCGGAGAATGGAACTGTTAGTCATCACCCTCTTCTCCTTATTTGGTTTTAAATTGAAAATATGGGGAATTGTTATTCACACTCCTAGTTTGTCATTCTACACTCTCAAAAATCGATATTTTGTTATTTTAGCGAAAGAGTGTAGGATGACAGACTAGAAGACTCGAGAAAGAGTGTAGAATGACAAATTAAGAGTGCGCGGAACATCTAATATAAATTTTCAAAACTCATGGTGTTTGGATCTGATGTCAGAAGCAATGATGTGGACCAGTTGTTGTAGAGTACGTAGAGATGTCTACTTCCTCTCTACCCCACCTCTTACTTCATTTACAGTAAACCTTTTGCACTCTTTGCTCTCATAGTCTTGCCATGTTCATCTAAGTTCATTTCTGCAATTCCAGAACTCAACCAAACTAAGTTTTCTTCTTGAGATGCCAATTGTATACACCCAAAAACCTATTTAAACTCCTAACTCTCTCAAACAAAATCATGAAATCAAAATTCCAGAAGAAAACCACCAAGAACACAGAGTCAGTATGCAATAAACCTTCTTGTTTCTTCTGCACCATGAATGAGCCAGACCCCTCTCTCAGAAAAGCTAGAATCATCAAAGCCTTCCAAGATTTGCCTCTCAGGAATGACCAAGAACATGTCCTTGCACTAAGCAGCCTCTGGAACATAGCCATGATGCAGCCTAATGACCCTGAATTCCCATCTCTTGGAATCTTTGAATGCATGGCAAAGCTTATTCACAAAGGCATTAATGACGAAAAGTGGCTGCTAAGTGACCAGAACATCTATATCCCCTACTATGCTGCCCATACTATTGGCTCTTACACCATGAACAAGGTTCAATTTGCAGAGAAGGCTGTAGAATCAGGGGTGGTTTTTTCATTAATTGAGCTGATGAGAGGTAAGATCACCTGGGTGGAGCAACGAGTGGCGGTTCGGGCTCTTGCTCATATAGCAAGCCATGAAAAGATCTTTGAAGAAGCCATTGGTGTAAATGAAGTGGAGATTGTTGAATTAGCCATGGAGATATCCATGACCTGCCTCAAAGAGGTGTTTGATAAGTTTGTTGGCTTGGGACCTTCAAAAAGATTGAAGTACCATTGCGATTTGGTTACAAGAGGGCTTGGAGGGTTGGAAATTGAGGACAGAAAGGCAGAGGAATGGGCTAGCCAGCTTCAGTGCTGGTCTCTCAATCTTCTCAACTGCTTTGCATGCAAAGAAAAGTCTCTGAATTTAATCTGCAAGAGAGAATTCTTGGTTGAATTGTGTGGAATGTGGGGTGGTTTAGCAAACCCGAATTCACCTGCTGTGATTAGGCTGTTGAGATCACTTTGTCAAACCAAAATTGGAAGACAAAGTGTAGCAAATTTACAAGAAGTCATAAAGGCACTCTGCAACCTCTCAAGGTCCTCAGATGATTGGCAGCTGATGGCCATTGATTGTCTTCTGCTACTCCTCAAAGACCCGGAAACCAGACACAAAACCATGGAGGTTTCAGTTGTGTTTCTTGTTGATCTGGTTGAGCTTAAAAGTATTGGAGGAAGACCAAAAGTTGGAGACACAATCACACAGGCTCTCTTACAAGATTACCATAAAATAAAGTATGGGGACTTGAAATTCCAGAGGAAGAAAGTTGAGAGAGCTTTGAAGGAGACATGGGATTTGAAGGTTGACAGAAAAAGGAGGGAGAAGTTAATGTCTGAACAAGAAATCAGAGAGAGAAAATCAATGGTGAGACAGCTGAAACAACAAGGAAATCTAAACTTTTGGTCAGGGAACATAGAAAAGGCTGTGATGGAGTACACAGAAGCCTTGCATATGTGCCCATTAAAGATGAGAAAAGACAGGCTTGTGCTCCATAGCAACAGAGCTCAGTGTTACTTGCTGCTGAGGAGCCCAGAGGCTGTCATCAGTGACACAACCAGAGCTCTGTGCTTATCCAGTGCAGTGAGCCCTCATGGTAAGAGCCTGTGGAGAAGATCACAGGCTTATGACATGAAAGGGTTGGCAAAAGAGAGCTTGATTGACTGCGTAACATTTGTTCATGGCCGTATGAAGTCCGGCCAAACCGAAAGGGCAGAAATCCCAAGCTACGCGGCACGTATGATTAACAAGCAGATGAATAAAACTTGGTTATTTGCTCCTGCAAAGTCCAGGAGTTTTAACAACCATGAAGAGTTATTGGAATCTCATGGCGACAGTGAGTCTCTTAATTAAGCACATTCTATTAATCTTTGCTTGCTAACATTACTCTTTTCTATTTCGGGAAAGCCGAATACCAATCTACATTAATTGATACATGTTATCATTGTTTTCTTATTTGGGAAAGCCGATACCAATCTACAGTAATTGCTCCGTTGTTGATATTTAGTATCACTTTACAATATCTAATTCAATGTCGATATTTGGTAATATCGACAATGTATCACTCTACCGTATCTAGTTCAATGTTGATATCTAGTAATACCCACAAGTACTACTTGACGTTATCTACTTCAACGCTGATATTTGATAATATCGACAATGTATCATATACTGTAGATTGATACCCAGTATCAGTCAATAACCATCAATAACCACCTCTTTAATTTTTAGCTAAGCCCTCATAAATATTCATTTCTTTTACAGGTAGGCCTACCGTTGTAGACGAAACGTTTGCCGAAAAAAGATGGAGAAAGCTAGAAAGGGAAAGAAGAAGAGAAAAGGGTGTAAATGTCACAGAAAGGGTTGGAAGGTTGAAAATTGGGTAAGGGAAGAGAGGCCTTATCAAATTTCTATGTACACCAAAATTAGGAGGTGTAAGAAGACGAGATATCAATAAACCCAGCTCTATGTGACTTTAAACTCTGGCTTCTCCATATTCATGAGAACACCTGGTGTCCATGGGTACCATGCAACTGTGGAAAAAAACAGATATTCTCTAACTGCTTCTGGACACACTGGCAGTAGTGGGTACCATGCTTTTTGACCATGAAGCCCTTGATCTTTTGGGCATGAACTCAAATTTAGGAGGGGGGAAAACCTTTTTGGGGATTGTTGCTTTGACAAATTTTGTTTGTGCTTGTTTGTCAAAATCCGAATTATAAAAAGCTCTCAAATAGCAGCATTTTCATAGGTATTATTTACTATTATATTATATGACTTTTTCCCTCTTTTTTTTGCCCTTTTTTTTTAATGACATGGATTGCATTATCTCATCTACTTTTACATCAATTGATGGGATACTGTCACATGAACGATCACGCGAGTTGTTTAGATCCTGCATTAGTTGCTTTATTATTATTATCTTAACAAATCTTTATTAAGTTAATGGGGTTGGTTGCCAATGTCATATAGTGGTCTCTTGGACATATTCTGCTTGACCAAACAAAAAAATGTCGATATCAACCTCTCTTTTCTTTTCCTCGAACTTTTCAGATTAGATTAGAAACTACTTTCTTACACTTTACCAAATAATTAACCATTATAAAACCTTCTAGTAACAGAAAGTCCTTCCTAACCCGTATCAGATTTGGTGTATATGGGATCTTACCTTACCTGATTGTCAATGCGCTCTTACGTTAGCAAAAGATAAATGATTGTATTGCTTCACAATTATCCGTCAGATTAGTGTATATCTTTAGTTAGATATGCAAAAACATCTTTGATTGAATTGAACATAATTATATGGCATCTTATTCCATCTCGGCTTCATTATTCTAGGTCCGTTTGGTTCAACGTTTAGAAACACCAAAATAAATTTGATGTAGGTTTGCAAAAACAGGACCAAAAAATATTCATAATCAAATCTCGGTACAACTAGAGGATAAACTGAAATTCATTTTCATGCAAGTAATATTACTAATAGTACTACTACAAGCACCAACCTAAAAAACAAAAACCACAGTTTAAATACCAAGTGATGAAAATACAACTGTCAATATGTATTGGAAATATATGAGATTCACATGAATTTGAGAAATTTTGACTCTGATAGCACATTCTAATTAACTAAGGTTTAACCAATAAATATTCCCAACCTTTTTTTAATTAAAAAAAAAGGAAAAAATATATATGACAATGTCAAAATGACAACTATCCACTGCAAATTAAAAACATGGATTCCAAATTTATTGTGATGAATTAACGTACAACAAATAAAGGGGAAAAAAATTATTTAAAAAACTACAATTTCATTATTCTAGAAAACTGTACAACAAATACACATACAGCATGCATACATGTTTACATTGGTATAAGCCGGTGTAAGATTTGCAGATATCTTGCCTCAAATTGACTCAGCTCTGCATAAACAGGAAAAAACGCAACGTCAATTTCAGAAAGTCAGCACAAAATTCTTAGGTGATCAAAATAACATTAAAAGTGCCAAATTAACACACTGTCATTGCTAAGTCTTCATAGCTGATAACAATTCAAACTTATTTATAAGAAATGCAAGATTTGGTACAATGCCTAATACGACGATGCGTACACTGACACGGCAGCTTCAACTCTCGCAGCAGGCATATCATGCGTATAAATTATGTGTGACGTAGTGAACTCACCTCTTCAGGACTTTTAGAAGATCCATCGTTGCATGTGCTTAGAGCAGCAACAACTGAACCTGTTGTGGCTAGAATCAATCCCACATCAGGATAATCTTTCCAGGATGTTGTTGCCTTCAGAGATGGATACAACCAACTCTTCGTTGAGTCCACGAAAGAGTTTGGATCAAAGTTCAGAATGGCGTCCCAATCCACCTGTAAACCTTGTGGGATGCTTCCTGTGAACTCCATATTAGCAGCAAGAAGTAATCCCAGCATAACCACAAACCCAACAACTGCAGAGCCTCTCGAAAGCGGCATAAAATTGTACCTGAAAAAGCAAATATGTATAAATATACTCCTTATTTAGAACTATATATTTTGTGAATGACAAACATGCCGTATCCATGCATCAAGGTCAAATGTTATACCAGTAATACGTCATCCTTAAAATTGCATCTCTCACATTTTCAAGCACACTGGAGTCAGTAGACCCATAATTTTCACCGCAATAAGCATTGCATATAGCCTGCCAATCCATAGTCCATATATGCAAACATTAGCAATTTATTCAACCAAAGAATTATTTTATAAAAAAATACCACAAAGGATTGCTGACACACTGAATGAAAGACAAACAATAGTATAAACAAATCTACTTGTTAGCGCCTCTAGTCAAAAGGTTTTCGCGCTAGCACCAGCCTAAAGGTCCCGTCTATCCAGATCCAGAAGACTCGCCATTAAAGAAAAACAAATGTTGATTGCATCCTAAGGTTCTGCTTAAGCAGTACATGGTGGCCAAATGTATGGTAGGTATAACTCAAGTACCAATTGTGTCAAGTAGTTTATCAGGTATGGGCAATGAAAAAAGTATTTTATCAGGAACTAGGGATTACTAGGGCATTATCCAAGAAGGATCTTGAATAACTCTTAGAAGGCATCAGTTTTGGGTACAGTGAAATGAGAGTTCACAAGGTTTGTAGCGATATGTGGGAGAGTGGAATAACACTTTGGAGCATGTTTTGTTTCATGGCTCAGGTTAGGGTTCAGATTGAATGTCAAGCATTCGCATCTTTTCCTTATTAAGTTTTTTAGTGAATTATCTCTTTTCATAGGTGAGGATTAGCTAAACCACAATGCTTGGGAAGATTCTACACACAAAACTAAGGAAAGGTAAAGGTACTAGAAGCGCTTCTCATGTCTTATATTGTGATATTTGTTCTTCCAATACAAATATATCATGTATTGCTTATATCAAGGATCCAAGAAAGCGACTCAAGGGCTCGACCCATGTTAGATTACCGGCATCTATTAAACAAAATAGAGTATGGAAAAAATTACAATAAAAAATTGTTGGCTCGCATAGATGGGTGTAGGGTAACATACTTCCCATGCCTTTGCCATTTCTGCATCAAATTCGTCCCACCTTGAAGGTGTACAAGGTGTTCTGATTGCAAAATCATATCTGTTCTCCCCCCTGGATAAATCATTTAATGCATCCAGAATTAAGAAAATAAAAAGGACTAAATAAGATGGGGAAAATAAAATAAAATTAGAAAATGAAAAAGGAAAAAGAGAATGTTGCAAGCCAAGGTGCAAAAGACTACGTTTTTACTAGGGTAATCCGCGTCCCTTCAAGATATTTCCTGTAACAAGCAGGAACAATCAGAACTAGGCATGACATGCAATTAAAATGCAAGGAAATCAATTTTAAAAAGATATGCATTGTTACCCCTCAAAGGCAGTACTATTGCACCGAGTAGACAACCAGAAGTCCTCACCAACCGCTCTGTGTAAATCAGCACAAGATTTTGCTTCCAAAATCTGCATGAATATAATTATGTGAGTGAAACAATTATTTACATATGAAAGAAATAATTGTTCAACGAGAGTTATACATGCAAAAGAAAAGCAAACAAAAAAATAAAGATTAAAAGTGACAATATAATATAGGAAAGGGATTGTCTTCAAGTAATAAAATAAGATTTTCAAGAGTAAAAATAAAGGATTGGTGAACTCACATCTTTCAATTTCCCATCCCTGGATAGATCAATAAGGTTATCAACCTTATTATACACATATGACCTTTCCTTCATGACAGTTTTTGCAACATCTAATGTTCTGCCACATTGACAAGTGATGAGCAGTCAAGGGGGGGACAGAGCATTGTTTAAACAGTTCCATACTAAATGGAAGCATTATAGACCTTCACCTTTCAAAATTTGGGAAGTAGCGAACAACTTTTGCTTGTCCAAGGATCAATGGTGTATGAGACCCAAATCCAGCATTAAACTCTTCACTGAGTTGAGTAGAAATCCATGTTCACATTAGAAAACAGCATAGGAAAATATTTGACTATCTTATTTAACCATTCAAATGAAAATCAGAGCGAAACTCAATCCAAACACGATGTTATGTGGCTATTGAGCATGGAAATGATTTATAAATTAAAAATAAAATGGAATACCTTAGCTTGTTAATCCACACAACAGGGTCACACGGTTCTGAAATCTGCCGCCATTTGACAGCTACTGAATAAACATCATGCCATGACATCATAGAGCGTGCGGATGAATTAGCTTCTGTAATGCCATATGAAGTGGAGGTCTCTGAAGAGCTACTTGTACTACAACCAGCACCACCTCTATTCTGGCTAGGCAAATTGACTCTTTCCCTTCTCCGGCCTCTCTTACCATACTTCGACGATGTGCCTTTATTAGAATACTTCCATTCTGCTTGGAAGGAACGCCAAGCTTTTGAAACCTTTTGTGCAACTTCAATAACAGCCAATCCTGCCATACGATGCTGGTAGACATAGAATATCAACAAATTAATAAATAAAAAATAATGGTTGGTTAATTCAAAGCTCTTCAGGGCAAGGAAAACTAGAGAAACATGGAAATACATCAAGTTATATGGATGTAGAGTTCAATGCTCCAAATGAGTCAACAGAAGAATGCTAAATGCTACAACGTATAACTCTAAGTAATAATTACCATTGCAAAAAAAAAAAGTCGAATTGTTTTCTTCTGTAGAAAAGTATGGTTGTCTACACATACACACTGAGTCAAAATTAATAGTTTTTATGGTAGAGAGCAGATATTAGCTCATTTTTTAAAACTTGGCTCAAATAGAAAAGTAAAGTATCGTTCTCATATTAAAATTGGTTCAAATTGAAAAATTAAGTCTCATACTATGCATCAAGCCTGATCACTTTTATCCCATCAATTTTTGTGCAATGATGCGGATAAAATGATCAGTTAAAGGTGGAACCTTCTTGATGTTCACCTCAGGTTAAGTGTTTTGGAAATCCTTACTGAGTAATTTTGTTTAACAGATCATATACCATTTTAGCTTAAAAATATGAGATGGGTGAAATATCATGGGCCTCGAATGATTGCAACATCTGCAGCTTCAATTGAATCTATTTGATCTAGATTGTTCAAATCTAAATAAAAACAAGAGAGGTGCAACTTATCCTCAAGGCAATATGTCTAATTACAATAAACCTCAAATAAGATAAAAAGTTGAAAACATAAATGGGAAAATAGGAAAGAAATGCAACTAAGAAGTGACAACAATGAATTGCATTAACTTCAAAGTTATTCTTGATATCAAAATCACCTGACGCCTATTCGGTAAGAAGCCAGGACAATCATATTGGATTTTCCTTCCAATGCAATCAGCAGCTTCTAGAAGAGCAGTCTTCTGCTTTGTAACTGTAAAAACTTGCTTTCGAAGCTTGCCCTTCTTCAAAGATTCACGCAGGGGAGGTTGCCGATAGACCTTTTCGCATACATTCTTGGGGTGCAACCTTTTGCACCAGTACTCCTGAATATTAGATATTGAAAACACAATAAACAGAAAGTAAGAGAATTTGGAGCAAATTTGTTAAATGTTCCCCTTACATGCTCTTATTTATAAGAGGCTATGTTGTAGCCTCTGTTTGGGGTACAATGGTTGGATTTTATAGCCAGAAAAAAAAATGTGGTTTTCCAATGCCCCACATTGGTTTGGGTGTGCAAGTGTGTGCAGATTCTTCATGAGGATCCGCCATGAATTCAAAGTTAAAGTTAGAGTTCCCCTTTTGAAATAACTAAACATGGTTGGCTTTGGCCACTTTTTAATTGAACAAATATGATTTTGGATATTTGACATTTCAGCTTCTTCAGCTTCACAATTAATTGTTGAAAGGACTAGGCAGCGGAATAGCTACCTTTTTTAACTTTATCTTTCTTAAATGACATTTCATACACATTGCCTTTTGTATTATACTTAGGTATAATCATGCCAAACATGCACATACTGATACTGAGATGATATGACAGAAATTAGCTGAAAATTTATAACAATGAACTGGAAATCAAGACCAAAATAATCTTCAAAATATATCACCTTAAAAAGTGAATCAATGTCTCCATCAATATCAAACCAGCAAAATTCACTGTTGATTTTTGATGCTGTGTACAGAGCAATCTCTTTCTGTAAACAAAACAAAATAACAAATTCAAAGTTTGACATATAAGCAAGGTCATTGTTGTGATTTGTCGAGCATGGTCTTTTACTCAAAGAAGGGAATGTTTCATTCGATATATCTGAAGAAAAAAAATGAAGAAGAAAAGTGCCCGAGGTGCATTAAAGATATATGCTAAAAGATGGAACTGCACATTAAGAGTTACAAAGTGCATACTACACTATGAGTTCCTGCACATCAGCACTTGCATGGTGCTTATAAGTGCAAGAATATCAACATGAAATAAGCCATGCTATTTAAACCTGATAAAAAGCAAGGCATTGCAACACAAACTTCTCCATCGAGTCTAGCTCCAAATCCAGCACAGCATCGTAGTCCTTGACCTGTGACCAATGTATAAGTGAAATATGATTAAACATGCAGCTGATATTCCAAACAAACCAAAGCGAGTCTAGCTCCAAATCCAGCACAGCATCGTAGTCCTTGACCTGTGACCAATGTATAAGTGAAATATGATTAAACATGCAGTGATATTCCAAACAAACCAAGTAAACAACTTCTAATACCGCGTGCCCATATTCTCCAAGAGCATGGTAGCAGGATGCCCGCAAATACAAACACTCAATATTGGTATTCTCAATGCTCAACCCAGTTGACAAATCCTTAATAGCCTTGCTGCAATATAGAACCCAGCAATTAATTACACCGCCTAGTGTCTTTATTAAAAAATAATAGCACAATGCTACATTCACTAACAGATACCACAAGGGACATTGGCAACTTTTTCATCTATGAATATGACCAAAAGTCATTATCCCTAGTACGCTATTGTGCCCGTGGACTGCTGTGGTGCCTAATTCCACTTTAAGTGGATTGTTATACGAAATACAACATATCGTTGTTTGCAACTGATGATGACAACAATCCATCACATTACACTACATCTACCATATAATCAGAGACAGAGTAATATCCCAAATAATTTATGCTTTACAAGATCATGCAAACATTTCAAGAGTAGATACTGGTTAGTGTTTATAGTAAACAATTCATTCCAAAGATAGGATTTGGTAGAACCTACCGGTGTTCTCCCATCCCATGGAGCAGCAGACCACGCAAATGATATGCTTTGGCAAACCTTTCAAATTTAGACAAACAAGTATATCTCCAGCGTTAGCACTCTGCCTGAGTTATATCAGGATCAACAAAACTTTAGAAACATGGATGCCTTAGTTCAGACACAAAATGCTCACCTCCCATCAATTTGTAGAGCTCGCTGCAGACATGCTAAAGCCCTGGTATGGTTAGCCATATCTTGATAGAACTGCAACAACCCACATGCCAGAAGAGCAACACTTGTTATAAAACACTTGATTTGTATCAACCAAAATGGCAAGTCATATTCACTCTATATGAGCAGTTAAGAGTGAACTAATAAACTGCTACCAAGTTTTAGTTATGAGCCTATCCTCAGATTCTAATGTATTACATTATTACTAATACCTATGCCGTTTAACAGAGATAATATCCCATATTGATTCCATGAGATTCTGGTTTTCACTAGTGATGTTGCCATTCTTATTAAGGATATGCAAAATAATGAACTAGGCATGAACAATGATGGAAATTCATCTGGCCTTGGTAAACAAAGTATTTGCTCATGGATACCTGGGTTAGCTGCACCCATGCCTCAAGGAAATTCTGATCCAGTTGAATTGCTTTCAAATGTGCCTCCTCAGCTTTTTTATATTCACCAATTGAGGATAATGCCAAACCCTAGGGAAGCCAATATCGGTTCAGTCAATACTCAATAGTGCAAGATTATTCCAGGGTAAGCTGCAAGAACAAATACCAGATAACAGAATCAATAGAAACACAAATCTTGAAGACTCACCAAGTATGTGTATGCAGATGTGTTATCCTTATCAAGTTTCACACATGCAGTTAGGTCTTCAACGGCATTGTAAAAGTCCTTGAACTTGAAATTGGCAATTCCTGCAAAAATTACAATGCCACTGTTTTTACCTGTCTATTGACAGAAGTTGTCGTTTAGGGCTATTAATAAAAATATATCCAAAAGGTTTCCTAATACATGTGATTATATCACATGTCAAGCTTACATGATAAACCTTCAATGAATATAATTGAAGAAACATTGCAGTCTAAATAATACAATGTCAAGCTTCTACAGCTATTGATCTCTCTTGAAAATTGTTCACATACATCTGTTTTAACATCTTAACAGCACCTAAGCCTGACAATCTGTAAATAGATGCAGATACACACTCTAAAACAATATCTTTTTATCTGAAAAAACGAAGGCATTTGAGCATTTGAACCTGAATGCTGAAATATAATGATTGGGTTGGAGCTAGTTACCCCTTTCGTGTAAAATATCAGCTGAATTTGGCTCAAACTCCAATGCCTTCGACAGATCTTCAATGGCCTGGATCACAAGAGATTAATATATGCATGTACATGTTAGTTCTTGTGTCATAACAAGTAACAATAACTTCTTTTACCAATAATTAAGTTGGAGGAACAGTGTAAAACCACAACCAAATATTCATTACTTTAATTTACAGAGAATACATTTACATGAAAAAATTAAGGTAGCAATAACACCTCAACAAATTCTCCCAGAGCAGCTCGTGCTTGCCCTCTCCGTTTCCATGCCTCACACGCTGATGGATTTGATTCCATGGCCTGAAAAATATAAATAGATCAACTACTCGCATGTAGAGCCAAACTATTTTTATTCTTCTGCCAAAATATTAGTTCATCAAATACCTTAGTAAAATCAGCTATTGCAGCCTCAAGTTCTCGTTGGAATGCATAGGCTGTCCCTCTCCCTATCAGTGCCTCTGGATAGTTAGGATCCTCTTTCAATATCTGTGCATATAATTATAAAACAATGCAAATGCTCATAAAACTTGCTAATGGCCCCATAAAACTACAACCCTCTAGACATGTTGTTACCCATCGACAAACCAGAAATGAAAAGAGGAAAATAATAAAAATGAAAATGAAAGAAACACAAGGAAAAATAACGATGGGAAGGAAAATTCCAATCGCCAGAAATTTTTCAGGACTCACATGGACTGAAACTTACCTGATCAAATATAGATATGGCATGAGCATACTTCCCTTCATTAACCTGTAAAAACGGTACATCACACGTTGAAGAGAATATAAGGTTTAAAACACTGGCAATTCAACAGAAACAATAACTGTGCTCAAACAGAAAGACAATTACCAAATAAAGGAATTATAACATACCTCCGCTATACCTCTTGATAATCGAAAATCCACACTTATTGACTTGGACTTTGAAAGTCTAGCAACGCAGAACTTTTTATTTCTCTTGGAGTCATCACTAATTTCATGGCGTATATCAGATTTACTACTTAACTTTGGGGGTGTGGGAGGAGTTTCAGTCAAATCACTTGATTTGCTACAAATCATTGGTAATTTACTGCATGTATCACTTAAGTCATTGCATGATTCAGAGTTATAACCCAATTTATCATGAATATCATGATTCCCATTCATTTGGCTATCAAACTTCTTACTCGCCGCAGCTTTATCACCTATTCCATTGGGTACGTCCAAATTACCATTAGACTTGCTATGGACCTCAGAGGTAACTGTTGATTCACTGCATAATTCAGATTGATCACTCAATTTACTGTGATTCTCATGAGTCTCACTTGACTTCCCATTAACATGTGATCTTGATTCAGATGCAAGCATAGATGATGCCGACTGTTTTGCATGATTCTCACATTCAATACTTCTCTCTTCTTTTGCAGTTCTTACAAGGTCTTCCAGTTCTAGCAACTGCTTCAGATCTGCA